ATCGTTATAATTTGGCTCTCAAAGGGCCTAGCGACTTCTATCTTAGTTCAAATTAAAGATCTTGAATAGCACTACAGCGTACTTTTATTGCAGTGATAAAAAATTGTGAGAAAGTGATAAAAATTGTGGGACTTTAAGAATCCATCACATCCGGTCAATTGAAACACTAATGCCACACAATGATCTAAAATAAATTTATTTTATTAGTTTATTTAAGATATTTTAAGTAAACATAAACGGAATCATGTTTTATAAGTAAACCTTATATCTACACACATTTACGCATACAAGCTACGTTAGCTGCTGTAAGTAAAATGTAAGGCTATTTATTGCAGACAGGCGCTAAGAAACTAAATCCCTGTCATTTCGCTACATTTACCGTCAAATAACAAGGCAATATTTGAAATAGTCAACAAAAATTCGTAAAACGACAAATTTCACGCCATTTCATACAATGATAGACTAGCGATTGATTTGTCACAACAAATCAGCAATAAGGCAGCATGTTGAGTGAAGTGTAATCAAGTGAAAAAAATGCGTTCAAATAATTTATTTTCCTTTAACGTGCGCATGGAATATGTACCAATTGCGAAGGCGTTGTATGAATGCTGCACATACATACGTAACGCATACCTAATACCTGAATTAACAAAGATATAATGGTCTTGTACCTACTAGTAATTGACTAGACAGATTGATTATCGTCATTTAAAGCAGCACAAAGAAGAGAGTAGAAAGGATTTTGTATATGAGTGAAAATCTCTCAAGTGGGCCACCCAAAATTGGATGGTCAAGATTTTTTCGCACAAATCACTTTATTCGGTTTACAACCATAAAAGAAAAATATAATTTGATTTGAGTTATTGTTATTAACTTTTTTTTGATGAATTCATTAAATGTTTATTATCCACTGACTCATAGTATGTATTTTGCTGATGTTTTCCACGATAATAGTTAATTAGACACGCTTTAGCCTAATTGTTTAAATTTTTCAAATAATCATTATTTTGCATAAAATTTAAAATTTTTTTAAACAAATGGAAATATTTATAACTTCTCGATCAGATTTTTTAATCACTTACATTGAATATCAATCCTTATTCTATAATACATTATTTAAAAGAAAAAAAAAACACGGAAACTTGGACGCTAGTTATTAATTTTTTCTCGCTCTTGCCACGGGTGATTTTGCCTTCATGCCGCGTGCCGCGCGGACTCGCAACGTGCGTGATGCAACCAGAGAGCTCAAAAAAAATAAAAAATTTAATTTTAAACATAAGCACAGATTATTTATTACAATCTTTCTTAAAGTTGTGTACATAAATATGTATATAAATATCATGCATATTTATATATGTACGTATGTTCATAAAAAAACTTTATTTCTAAACTACATGTAGGAGGGTTGCCACCTATTTTAAAAATTTTATTCAACTTGAATTAAGGGAATTAGATAATTTAAATATGTATCACAATATGTGTGACAGTCGAAAAAGGTTTAACAATTTGTTTGGTTTTAAATATTTTCTACAGGGCTGCCACCTCTTTGAAAAGCGGAATTTAATTAATGTATGCATAAAATAAAGAAATATTACAATATGGATGTCAAAAAAAGGATGTGTAAGGAATCTCTAGTTGGAATATTTGGAATATTAAATAGGGTTGCCACCTATTTACAAAGTTAAACTGCCAACAAATAACCACGAAGGCCTGGACTGATCCTTATTTTTACATTTACACATTGTTTTAATTATCCTTGAATTCCTAGATCTTTTAGGTCCATTTAACTGGATAGTTAAATAAATACTCAAATTACAGTACAATAAACTTTATTTAAGAGAAAAAACACTTTACAATACTTGTTAAGGTAATTTTGTATTTACAGCAGTTTACAATACCTGCTAGGGCAATTTATCTCTGTACTCGTTTTTTTTTTTGTTTTACAACTGACTTTTTATTTGCTCTGATTCGTAAAAAATATCATAGCCTAAGCAGTGGTAAAAATTAAATTAGAAATTTATGGTAAAAATTTCAGATTTTTTCATTCCTAACCAATAACAAATTACAGTAAAATCGGAGTAGAATTGGTACTTTTTCCACATTTTTTATGTACATATTGGGCCCTTCCACTGTGGGACGCCCCCACCATTATTATGGGTTATTGCAGCAACTCACCAGACCTAACTAAAGCTAGCGCGGGTATGATAAATAGCATCGCGTCTCAAAGTTTGGTAACACTCGAATCGCACCACCTAACCAAAGTCATCTTAATCAATAAGCCTACCGCCTTTGCTACCGCGGACCACCAAACCTACAGACACTTTAACAAATCAGATTAGAACGGCTTCGAGGAAGTTACAGAGAGCACCTGCGCCGCCCTGCCCACGCCCACAAACGTACGCGTTGACGAACATCAGTTCCGCAAGGTGTTCACTGCTGTAGCGGCTCGCTTCATTCCATGCAGACGCATTACGAAAGTCTGCCCAAAGTTTACGGCAGAAGCGGCGTTTCTCGCAAATGAGCGTGATATGTTATGCTAGGTCGGAAATTCGACAACTGGTAAATTAACACAAGAGAAAAAGTGGGAGGAGCATTTTAAGACTAGCACTTTTGGTTATAGTGTAAAAAAAGTGCGCCTCTTGCTCTCACCAGCGGTGAAGTGTAGGTGGCCATCGAGAAGCCATTGGTCCCGACGGAATATGCATGCTGATGCTGAACAAATTGCAACCGATGGAATAACATATCGCACCAAAGTTCTAAATCTGTTACTGGTCACCCTCGTATTCCAGATACGTAGAAATCGGGGACGTAGTTTCACTACGAAAGTCGCGAAATCCAGCTAGTAAAGGGGTGCCTCATCCGTCCATAACTCTTTTTCCCAGTAGTGAAGACGCCTGAGGTCTTGCTGCTCCTGTACTTCAAGTATCACCTCACCCAGCGGCGCACTTTCACCGCACTTAACGACATAAACATCAAAATAACTCGTGGCCTAAGCCAGAACGGCCCCTTTAAGAGCACGCTCCTAGTTGCGTTGGCGCTGTCAAAGACGTTTAATATCTCGACATTCAGTTATATCGCCAACTTCATGTAAATAAATCGTTCCCATAACAAAAAAAAAAAATTGGGAAAATTTGTATTTTTTTCTTTGTAATTTTTGGAAAAATTTAGTCACATGGAATTCGTGGGAACTAAGCAAGGAGTACCACAGAATGGTGTTATATTCCCAATATTGTTTAACTTCTATAACTTGAAGCTTCCCCCGCCACCGGAGAGAGTTTCCCTGACGGCATACGCTGACGGCTGTTCGATATTTTCCTCCGGAAATGGAATAAATGACCTCTACTCGAAAGTAAACGGCTACCTCTCGTAACTTTTTCGCTTTTTTACTGCACGGAGCCTAAACCCCTGCCCGACGAAATCAATGCCGATCCTCCACAATACCTGGACGAAGGAAGTGAGGCCTCTACTATGCATTTTATTATCTATTAGTATCTATCTGACCTTTAATAAAAGCTTTAGTATTTAATATTATGATTTGAAAACAAACAAAAAATGTCAAATAGCGGCCAATGTTCCCACGTGCGTACACCCCCTCTCTGACTATGCATTTAAATTTTCTGACCCTAAATTATACTCGACTACATTGCTTCATATAAAAGCAAGCTGTTTGAAATTTTGTGGCCTAAAATGGGTTAAGTTCAGAATCACTTTAGCTTTGTTTAACCATTACAATTACAACTAATTTCTGTGTCGTTTTCAGTCTTACTACCAAAGGCGGGTTTCAGTCAAGTTGACAAGGAAATACCACAAAATTATGCAAATACTACAACTTCTTGCTAAATCCAAGTAGATAAAGTAGTGCCTGCCACAAACACCGCAACAAAAGCATAATAGTTTCTGTAAACCATTTTACAAACACTTAAATAACCGATGGCTGGAATTCTATTCACTTCTTTACATGCATTTGAGTACTTAAAAACAAAAGCTAAACTTAGTGTAAATTGACTAACACAAAATCAAATGGCAACTAACTGAAGCTTTTCAAATTTTTTGCTTATTTAAATATACATATGTATACATATATGTACATAAGTTATTTTAATTTCTTAGGTAAAAAAATGTCTAGCTGACCTTCTTAGCTTATTTTAAGCACTTTATCCTTTTTCTTAATCAGTGTGCTGTATTTTGTAAGTTCGTACAAACTAGTGAGTAGTTGTTAATAGCTTATTTCAATTTAGTTGGGTCACTGACAATCTTTTTTAAACTATCGTTAATGTGCGGAATAAAACTATAGGCCGCTCCATTTATGTAATTATCAACTTCAAGACACACACTCGGGAACAGAGCATAAAACTTATTTATGACAACTGTCATGGAAAAATTCACTATGAAGGAAATGTTCTATAACTAAGTGATACCAATAGATTTCTTTTTTATTTTTTTTTGCAATTTTTATGCAAAATTAAAGAAAAATAACAATTATTTTTGATTTTTATATTATATGTCTTAGATAATAGTTATTTAACACTTTTATTTATAAAAGTCATCAATAAATATCAGTCAGTGACTTTTACTTTTAAAAGTCATCAATATCAATCGGTCACTGACTTCTATTTTTTAAATCATCCGTAAAAAAGTCATTAACATTTTTTTGCAGTTAAGAAGGTGTTGGGAAACCAAAGTTTACTACGACTCATACAAATGACTTTTATAAGTAAAAGTCTTCTATAACTCTTATCTAAGACATATAACTTAAAAATCAAAAAAAAAACTGTTATTTGCTGATTATTTAGATAAAATCAAAAATAATTGTTATTTTGGATTTATAAAATAAAAGTCAGAAATAACGGTTATTTAAGGAGTAATTAAATAAAAGTCAGAAAATAATTGTTAAATAGCGATTTTTTTTTAATAAAAGTTGTAACTGTTACGGTCCCTGCACACACTACAAATATAAATGTAAGCTCAGTGAAATACTTAGCTAAAGTGTAAATGTGTATTTTTTTTACTGTAACTGTTGATTTAATATTTTTGTTTTTGCATTTCTTTTTTTCCTGCTTTTAGGGGCAAAAGTGAATGTGTTCAGAGAGAAATATTTCCAAGGAAAATAATCTTTTTTTTCCTGATTTTCTGGTATTTTTGTAAAGATTCGGATCACAATTTCAGAATTAATTTCTAATATTGTTTTACTATAAAGAAATTTAATGCTCTCATACTATATATATCTACTTACGTACATATATATATATAATATAATAGCCGTTGCCGTTTTTCAGACTTAACTCAAAAACTATTCGACAGATTTCAGACAAATTTTCAGAGATTATACCTTGCATATATGGTCCTATTACAGACTATAAGTCTTATTTTTGAACCGATTTCTTTCAAATTCAAACAGTGTACTACCAGCGTGATGCAAAATATGTTAGAAACTTCCGTATATTTTTATAAAATCTGATTGAGATTCTTAATGCGTATTCATTTCATGACAAGCAATATTTTTGCAGAAAGGGGCCCAATAGATGGCGCTGCATCTAGAAACCCACCTGGTCTTTGGCCCTATGTTTATCTTAGACGAATCTACTTTTCAGATGGCTAAATCAAGGATGCATATAAAACCCCAACATTGTGTAAGCGCACCTTTGTCTGACGCCCTCATACACTCTAAATGCGATCTTGCATCCACCTCCGATTGACGAAATTGCTCGGGCGGAAATTGTTATAGGAGTAAGACTCAAAGAAACCAGGTCATTAATATTAAATTGTAAAAGTGGCGAATTGACAAGGAAAGATTCGAACACATCCGTACAGGAAGTAACACGGTTGGTAAAGCGATGGCTTTATTTGAACGATATTCAAGAGATCACACGACTCATTTAGCCAATGTACGGGACAGCGAGGATTTTTGGCCCTCCTATGGGGAATTCTATTGGCTTACATGGTACATCGGACCAATGCTGAAGTTGAAAGATCATAGAAAAATATTAGGCAGGCTTTGCAAAGATCTAACAGGTGCAATTAAGACCATCGGTAAAACTCATGACATCCAAAGGGATTAGTATTTCATATGGTTTGACAGTGCTATTATTATTGGCCTATGTGTGAGGAGGACTCTAGTCTTTAATCGGTTAAATTTAAACTATAAATGTTTACTTTACTCTCGCACACTCAGAGTTTGACAAGGCTCTCAACGCCACACGTTAGGCTTCTTTGAGGAATATTAATGGGACACTGGGCTATTAGCCCGATAGCCGCAGATTTGGAGCGCCTATAATAACTACTGCAGAAATGAAGAAGCGATAGAATCCGTCTAACGCTTTCTTTGTGAGTGCCCCGCCTAAAGAGTCTGGGAGAACACTTAAGCAAAACCCTTTTGAATGCTCTGCTAGGACTTGCTGTAGAATCATTATGATTTAAAGACATGTAGCGATAGATATGACATCCATTGGAAATAGCATACAATCTGACCTCAGATCCGTAATCAGAGGCCCCAAGAACGTCAGAGGAAAACGTTCAAGTGCATTTTTTTTAACCTTATGGAAAAAAAAATTTTTGGAAATTAAATTCTCTACAAATTTTTATCAAACTTTTTTTTACGAAAAATTCAAAATAAGCTTTCAAATCGCAAAAGGCCCAAAGAACTTAAAATCCAAGTTGGCGAAATGTTCCCATTTGAAATTTAGGGACATGACCGTGGATCCACTATCTACGTGCCCCCACTACAAATTTGTTTCTTCGTAGCAATTTGATCTAAATAGTATACATACATACATATGTTTGTTTGTATGTGCATATCAGAGAAGGTGGCATTTTACAAAGAGGTAAATACACACACACACAATGCTCAGTAATCTACTGAAGAAGGTGAACCATTCTGCTAACTACGTTCCTCTTGTTTTGTGTATCGTGTTTTGTTTCGGTTTTGCTCAGGATGAGCACCTATACCACAATCGGAACCATGCAAGTGAGAAAAAGAATAAACGATTCGTTTGGTTTGTGCTCGGCTGCCGTTGAAACGTATCGCGTATTTTTATTTTACTACATTTCTAATTAAAGTTATCCACCTGATTTGTAAGATATGCGTGATTATGTGGAATCACTTTTTAACAAAAAAAAATGATAATATCTTGAAAACTCGTCCATGGAAAAAAGTTAACACGGCGAGAGCTTCTAAGTAGGCATTAGATAGTTGCATAAGGTCCGCAAAAAAAATAAAATTTGTTATCTAGTGATATTAAATTTCTTCAAAAAAGCCAAACTTCTTTTAGTCAAACTTCTACGCAATGGGTTTTTTTTTGTCATTAGGTTTAATTATAACAGAAGCACTTTTAGTATAAAAACAAGAATTTTTTAACCGACTTCAAAAAAAGGACGAGGTTATCAATTCGTCGGAATATATATATATACTATATTTTTTTTTTGTATGTATGTTACCGCATAACATTTCGATTTTTGCATTGGAAAGGCAGTGTAATTTTGCTTAAAAATTACTTGTTTTAGTATTTATAACATTTTATAACGGTGTGCCATTTAGCGTCAATTAGTTTGTTTGAGCAGACTTGTTGTTTATAAAAGAAGAATTTACATAATCAGCAACACCCTTAAATAAAACTTTACTTAATAAAATCGATTATCTTATCTTACAATGCATATGCTTACTGTCGTATAGCTCTACATACATATGAAAAAAGGTGGCTAAGTATGTACGACAGATAAAAACTGCAAGTAGCAGCTGATGTCTAAGATTAAAGAATGGTACAAACACAAGCAGAACACGTATACGCCTGGTTGAGCGCACTTAAAACAGTTGTTCCGACAACCATACATACATACATATGTATGTATAAGGCGCAGAGCAGCAGAAAAGAGGCACCGGCAAAGATGTTCGTTGAAGTGAAAACTGCAAGAATGACAGAAACTAGTAGGTTTGAGACACGAATTTGTTCGATAACAAGCAGTGAAAATTGGAATAAGTGCTAGAATGGTATTTACCTTGAACTTTATGTGGGTTGCACATAGCCATATTATGCACACATGTATGCACATACATATACACTTTATATACGTATTCAGGTACGTGTCCGTATTGTTTAAGGAATTATTCATATATATATGCATGTACGAGTATGTGTGCGTACGCTCGCAAAAGCACTCAACCTTAGAACAGATGCGATGAATGAATTATATCAACGCGCACCGAAGTATGCTTGCAACTAAATACTAACAATTGCAGCATGCTCTTGGTTATTTTTTTAATAAAATACTGTTTCTTTGCTCAAGCGTAATTCAATGTTTAAAGAGACTTTCGAGCTATTTTTCGTGCTTATTTCTCCTGGGCTAAGATATCTTGCTGTTAAGTTGCTGAACCTGAATTTAACATCCGATGGGGCAGTGTTGTACGGTGAAAAAAGTGATATTGGACGGAACTTATACGGAACGGAACTGCTGCAGATTGAAACGGCCTGTAGGATATTAATAAGAAACTGTGAAGGTGAGAGCTAACGAACTGGCTAGGGCTGACACACCTCATGGCAAATTCGAAGCCAATACATTAAATTCTCCACCCGCAGTTATAAACTGGCAACTCGCACGAATGGCTCAAACACAATGAAACAACCTACAAACTTTCAAAACTGCAAAGAATATCTAATACTATGTCTCCATTGAGAGATTTATCCATTAAGATTTAATAAATCCAGTTGCTAAATCACAACCGTCTCCATTACCATTACGAGATATGTTTGACGTTCACATTTTTAAATATTTGACGTTTGCTTATGTATGATTTTACAAACACAGTTGCGGACATTGATATACAGACAGGTAAAAGGAAGGTACCA